AATAGCATTTCAAACAAGAGGCTCTCAAGAGCCTGAATCGCTCACCTGTAATTTTTTGCTTAAATCTTTCATCAATGATTATTTTTGCTTTTTAATATAAATTAATGAGTGGCTTAAAAATTTCATTGATAGGTTCTTTGTATCTATCATATTTTCTTCAAAAGCAAAGAAATACATTTTACCCCTATGTTCCATTTTAGCCATAGTGCCTATGTTTCTTGACGTACAAGAAAATAAAATACAAAATTTATACTAGATACTCTGAAACTCATTCAGCCCAAGTTTGGCTGAAATTGATTTAGCAGTTTCAAAGGAGAAGATTTTTCAAAGTAAGCAAAATAGATGAACAAATTGTGAAAAATTGTCTTTAAGGGCAATAACTCCTGAAGGACACATTTGACAATTCTGGTCATTTTAACTTATTTGTAGATCTTACTTTGCTGAACATTTTTGCTGTTCACAGTTTATCTTTATCATTAATAATATTCAAGATAATAACCAAAAACTGCAAAATTCCTTAAAATTACCAATCTAGTGGAATCAATCCAACAATGGACTGTTAGATTCGTCTGAAAATTTCAAGGCTGATAGAACTTGGCCTAATGAACATTTTAACCTCTCATCAGATTTGCTTTAAATTGCTTAAGTGTTTGAGATATATTAGCCAAAAACTGCATTTTACCCCTATGTTCTAATTTTAGCCATGGCGGCCATGTTTATTGACGAAACAGAAAATAAAACACAAATTTATTCTAGATACCCTAAGGATCATTCAGCTTAAGTTTGGTTGGAATTGGTTCAGTGGTTTCAGAGGAGAAGATTTTTTTAAAGTTAGAAAACATAAACAAATTGTGTAAAATTGTCCTAAAGGGCAATAACTCTTTAAGGGGTCAATTGACAATTTTGGTCATATAAACTTATTTATAGATCTTACTTTGCTGAACATATTTGCTGTTTACAGTTTATCTCTATCATTAATACTATTAAAGATAATAACCAAAAACTGCAAAATTTCCTTAAAATTACCAATTTAGTGGCAGCAACCCAACAATGGGTTATTAGATTCATCTGAAAATGTCAGGGCTGATAGAACTTTACCTTCTGAACACTTTTATCCCAGTCAGATTTGCTCTAACTGCTTTGGTTTTTGAGATATAAGCCAAAACTGCATTTTACCCCTATGTTCTATTTTTAGCCATGGCGGCCATGTTTTTTTTACGAAACAGAAAATAAAACACAAACTTTATTCTAGATACCCTAAGGATCATTCAGCTTAAGTTTGGTTGGAATTGGTTCAGTAGTTTCAGAGGAGAAGATGTTTGAAATAGTTTACACAAGAAGGACGACGAGGGACGACGACGGACGCCAAGTGATGGCTAAAGCTCACAGTTCCTTCGGAACGGTGAGCTAAAAAGTGTGGGAATCAACTCTGATATCAATACACATCTTGAACCAAATTTTATTCAATGGCTTACAGGAACAAAAGATACTGATAAAACACTTTCACTATTCTTATCAACTGCTTAAATTTGATAAATCACATTTTCCACATTAATTAATAAATGGCAATTTAATATAAATTTTGATTTACAAAGGAACTATATGCAAGTGTATATCTAAAATAAAGAAGTTGTTCGCCCAACCTTTTCTTAATTTAAGGACAAATAACATATTAAAAGTTGGCAGTTGATGATTAAAATGGTGTATAAAGTTTCGGGAAGTCATAAAAACACATAATCATTTTCATGACATGTCTTCAACTTAGAATTTTGCACCATCTCCAAATCCGGAGTGATCACATAGATCCAGCATGTCTGAATCAAAAATCATATCAAAATTTTACTCAGGATACTGTCTTTTGATCATGATGAACAGAAGCATTTTCAAAATCCAGGTAGTTTTCCAAAAAATCAATGACTAATGACAAACTTATATTGATGTCTGAACTTTAATCTTAGACTAAATGTTAACTGCCAAAAAAACTTAACCCAATTACGAGAATAAACTGTTGACACAGAGATATGTCTCGCCTATCGGCAGAAAATTCGAAAACTTTTAGACAACCTGATGGACAGCAACATAGCCAATCAAGTCACTGGATCATGACCTAGGGGACAAGGCCTCCAGATTGTCGTCAAACTGATATGTACTTATAGAAATGCAACTTTCTAGAAAATATCATTGATCAATCATAAGTAGTAACTATCAAACTGACTAAAGCTGAAAACTTAACATTGAAAATTGCTAATTAATTCAAAGTCACTTGACCATGACCTAGTGGGCAGGGCCTCTAAATAGTTGTTAAACTGATAGTATTGCAACTTTATAGAAAATATCATTGATCTGTCACATTAGCAGTTCCTATCAAACTGACTTAAGCAGAAAACTTAACAATATTGTTGACGCCCCCCTTCAAAAGCAGCCGGAAAAGCTACACCTATGTCTCTCTTTCAGCGATTTTCGTCACAGGCGAGACAAAAATACTGACAAATGCAAATTTCTTTTCTAAATTTTGCTCTGGAAACGGGTTTTTGATTATTACAAGGCTTCTGTCAATGTGTTATATTATTCCATAAAGATTTAACAAAGTTCTTGATGTTAAAAAAACTTTAACCCCTGACTTACCATCGACGACACTGATGTTTTCTATGTTTACATATTTCACAGTACTAGTTTGAGAGCATCATTTTTTAAAACATGAAGGTTGGCGCCTGTTAAAACGTTTAAACCCGCTGCATTTTTATGCACCTGTCCTAAGTCAGGAGCCTGTTGTTAAGTGTTTCTCGTTTCTCGTTTATTTTTGGCATTGCACTAGTCATGTCTTCTTTGACTGTCCATGACGTTAAAATACTAAATCCCTGGGATGTGTTTTAGTTGATTTTAGTCTCTGATGCATGATTTTTTATTATTAATTGTTTTGGCTTTTAACTAGCTGTCAGTAACTGCGAGTACTCTCAAATCGTACTTTCTTGTTTATTTGACCTGTTGATACTAATTGTATTGCTTTTTTGTTATTTAATGTTATTCAGGGTTATATCTGGTCTATATACCAGCTTTTATAAGTGTTTGGTATAACTATTAATTTTCACTTCGTACTATGAACATCAAAATTATTTATTTTGTAATAATATTTCCTTTCTCTATTGGTACTGTACACGTATACCTGACAACAAAATTATTTTCATTTATCTGTGTTTAAAGTTACTGCAGATGGATGGTATTTTTGTTCGAGCATATTGTTTTTCTTTAATTGTTTAACATTTCTTACCGATATAACATGTTACTTTTATTATTCTTCCCTTAGTTTATTTTGTATTCAAAATTATTTATTTTGTAAAAATATTTCCTTTCTCTATTGGTACTGTACAGGTATACCTAACAACAAAATTATTTTCATTTACCTGTGTTTAAAGTTATTGCAAATGGATGGTATTTTTGTTCGAGCATATTGTTTTTCTTTAATTGTTTAACATTTCTTACCGATATAACATGTTACTTTTATTATTCTTCCCTTAGTTTATTTATTTTGTATTTACATTGTATCATAGGTCAAATTTATTTGTTCAGTGTATGTTCAATGGTGTTAATATGTCCTTTGATTGAGTTAAGCTATTTCAGTTGATATTTTATAGTGTGTCTTTCTATGTTGTGATGTTACACTATTGTTTCAGAAAAAGGGTGAAGGTTTGGTACCATTAAAACGTTTAAACCCGCTGCATTTGTTTGCACCTGTCCTAAGTCAGGAATCTGATGTTCAGTAGTTGTCGTTTGTTAATGTGGTTCATAAGTGTTTCTCGTTTCTCGTTTTTTATATAGATTAGACCGTTGGTTTTCCCGTTTGAATGGTTTTACACTAGTAATTTTTTGGGGCCCTTTATAGCTTACTGTTCGGTGTGAGCCAAGGCTCCGTGTTGAAGCCCGTACTGTGACCTATAATGGTTTACTTTTATAAATTTTGACTTGGATGGAGAGTTGTCTCATTGGCACTCATACCACATCTTCTTATATCTATAGACCGTTAATTTTCCTGTTTGAATTGTTTTACACTAGTCATTTTGGGGCCCTTTATAGCTTGCTGTTCGGTGTGAGCCAAAGCTCTGTGTTGAAGGCCGTACTTTGACCTATAATTGTTAACCTTTTTATACATTGTGACTTGGATGGAGTTATCTCATTGGCACTCATACCACATCTTCTTATTTTTATATTCGGGGTCATAGGAAATATTCAAAAAATCACAATTATCGTTAATAAAATTGAGAATGGAAACGGGGAACGTGTCAAAGAGACAACAACCCGACTAAAGAGCAGAAAACAGCCCAAGGCCACCAATGGGTCTTCAACAAAGTGAGAAAATCCCACACCCGGAGGCAGGCTTCAGCTGGCCCCTAAATGTCTGTTATGTTGCAAGCTTTACGAATTTCAAAATAAAAGTCCGGCCACAGGTTATCTATTTTTTGCTCGCCTGATTACATTTAAATTAACGGATAGTTTAGTAAATTCAATCTGTTTGTTTCAAAGGCGGATTTAGGGGGGGGCTGGGGGCCCGCCCCCCTTTTTTTGGTTAACATTTGGTTGATTATTTAGGGAATCACTGAAGCATGACTGAACGGGCCCCCAAGTAGGCAGTCAGTGGGCCCCCACTTATGAAAATTTCTGGATCCGCCACTGTGTTTGTTTTACTCTTTTATACAAAACAATCTGAAGAATCTGTGTTGTTCCTTAATGTAAAGCACAAATGGTTGACGTGAGAGTCTTGGAATGTAGAAATAAACATCTAGTCAATGGAAAAGGGTCTTCAGATTATCACAAAAATTTATCAAAACTTTTTAATTTTCAGATTAAGGAGAGGGGACCTTTTTGCATTCAAAATCCTCCCACTTACAGATGACAAGTCATAGTATATTTTAAAATGCCCTAATATCTTATAAATATCTCTATTCCCTTAACCATGTTAACTATTCACATATAAGCAGTCATTCCAATCAATATTTCAAATGTGCTATGGCAACAATTCTTTTTAATTTTTAAACCATGTAAATTGAAACAGAAGAAATTATAATGACAATATATATAAACATAACATACATGTATTAACAATTAGAATAATGATATATAAATTATTCAATATAAGCTAAGCTTCTATATCATTTCTTTATTTGAAAGATTTTATTACTAATTTACACTGAATATATTTAACACCAGGGCTATTTAGAAAAAGCATTTCAATTAAAAGATCATATATTCAACAAAAAAATTGCAGTCATTTACCCATTAGAAAAGAGATCAAAGAAATGGACAAAACCAAGACAGAAACTTCTTATTATCAGATTTGGGCTATTGAGCTTTTCTACCTTTTAAAACTCTGAAGGCAGTATACCAATTCCAATACTGTTACATCATCATTGTTGCTGCCACTGGATTGAAATCGCAAGTATTACATTTGCAAGAACTAGCTGTTACAGGGAACGAAAAAACTGCTTCGCTGAGCGCAGCTGGATAAGCCTGCAGAGGTCCAACCCTGAACAGTTGGGGCAAAAATGGACACACTATTCAAGCTTGATACAGGTCTGAATTTGGATTGTAATTAAATATTTGACATATTATAGGTTTCTGAATAAATGTAGTCAAAGAACTTGAAATTGGTTAAATGAATTGAATTTATATCCAATTAAAGATTTCTTGCTGTTGTGCAATACATTGTGCTGTTGCGCAATACTTAGTAAATCTGTTGTCAGACTATAAACAAATAAAGGGAGGTTATCTTAATAGATATAAACCTGGCACAAAAGTTTAATGAAAACTGCTCAAAGCACTTTAAAGGTATTGTCAAAAAACTGGAAAATCCCCCTTTTTTTAATGAATAAAACCCCATAACTCGGAAAAACATAAAATCTAAAATTCATAAATATCAAAAGGCAGCTTACATCAATAGATATAAACAATTCACCAAAGTTTCATGAGAACTGCTCAAAGCACTTTAAAGGTATTGTCAAAAAACTGGAAAATCCCCCTTTTTTTAATGAATAAAACCCCATAACTCGGAAACGTAAAATCTAAAATTTATAAAAATCAAAATGCAGCTTACATCAATAGATATAAACAATTCACCAAAGTTTCATGAGAACTGCTGAAAGCATTTTTTAGTTATTGTCAGAAAACTGGAAAATCCCCCTTTTTTTAATGAATAAAACCCCATAACTCGGAAACGAAAAATCTAAAATTTATAAAAATCAAAAGGGAGCTTACATCAATAGATATAAACAATAATTCACCAAGGTTTCATGAGAACTGCTGAAAGCATTTTTGAGTTATTGTCCGAAAACTGGAAAATCCCCCTTTTTTTAATGAATAAAACTCCATAACTTGGAAACGAAAAATCTAAATTTATATAAATCAAAAGGGAGCTTACATCAATAGATATAAACATTTTACCGAGGTTTCATGAGAACTGCTGAAAGCATTTTTGAGTTATTGTCCGAAAACTGGAAAATCCCCCTTTTTTTAATGAATAAAACCCTATAACTCCAAAGCGTAAAATCTAAAATTTATAAAAATCGAAAGGGAGCTTATGTCAAAAGATAAAAACAATTGACCAAAGTTTCTTGCAAATTGGAGAAAGCATTTTTTAGTTATTGTCCGAAAACTGGAAACCCCCCCCTTTTTATAATGAATAAAACCCCATTTCTCTGAAACGTAAAATCTAAAATTTATGAAAAACGAAAGGGAGCTTACATCAATAGATATATACAATTCACCAAAGTTTTATGCAAATTGGGTAAAGCATTTTTGAGTTAATGTCCGACATGTTGATGACGGACGGATGGACAGACGGTACGACAGACGGATGGACAGACGGTCAACGGTATACCATAATACGTCCCGTAAACGGGCGTATAAAAATTACATTTGCAAATTAATAATGAATAATTAATATTTAGTATTATAATATTTACTTATGTATTTACATGTATTCTCCTTTGCCATTTAATTTTAAATTTTTAGGCAAATAAATACCCCTACGGTATTGTTTTGTCATCTTTGCTAGCCAAGGGGAGCTCAAGAGGAGCAGATCGTAATCCTTGGCTTGCAAAGATGTGTTTTGTGCAAATAAATAATGACTAATTAGACAGGTGATGCCTTGGTCTCCAAATTAGTTTAAACAGTAAGTTTTTCAATTACTAACATTTCAAATTTTCTTCTTCTGTTATCACTGCAGCATTATTAGCGACTCTGGCTATCAACGGATCAATTTTATCTTGATCTAATGGATATTCAGAACTGGACCACAACTTTCTCAAGTGGTCATCAATTAATCTGGAATCTTGCTGAAGTACATCCTTATCTAACTCTGTATGAAGTATAAATACTATAGCTACATTTTTAAAGGGAGCATTGTCACCATCGCAGTAACCATGAAAGAGAAGCGAAGCTCTAGGAGAAAGCTGTTCAAAGTGATCAACTGCTAGACTCCTAATATGTTCGTGCTGAAAACTATCTTTAATCTTATTGTCTAAATCTTTCTTTTCATCATCTGGATTGTTATGTCTTATATCATTTGGAATATTTATTACCCTGGCAGAGGTCACATTAAACAATGTATTCATATTTTTGGTTAACTGTTTAGCTATACATGTACCAGTTGCTGATGATTTAGAACCAGATGGAGCCACCAATAATAATATAGCAGGATAATCCGGATTATTTTCTACTATAATCCTTTTGAGACTGACTCTTATTATTTTTAAAAACCTTCTACTCTGTGCTGGAAACATTGACTGAAAGTCTTTCATATCGGCATTAAATTTTTCCAGTAAATTACGATTATCTGGTGGTGTTGAAGTTTCATCTGATATGTGAAAACATATAACACCTACAAGTGCCAAAAAACAAGCAACAAAAAGAAAATAAGATCCACAATATGTATTATTACTCTTTTCTGATTTTACTTTATTTATCGGTCTTTCCAGTTTTTGTTTTTTGATAGAATCTGGTGTGTCTTGCTCATGATCATCTTGCTTATCTCCACTTTTATACTGTCTATTTTGCGGTGTCTTTCTAGCTTTTTCAGGGGTATGTTCTTTTGATGAATTTAAGCTCCTATTGACTGATGATTTATGAGACTTGTAAGATGAATCAGTTATATCCATATCTTCATCCTCTAAATCAGTACCATTCTCTTCCTCAGACTCAACATTGGAATAATTTTTCTGCATAGTTTCATGTGGTTTAGGTGATCTTGTTGCATGTATTGGCTCCCTAGGTTTTGGAGAAGACCTTAAGTTGTATTGTTTGGGTGGCATTTTTTTTTAGCATCAGATGAATCTAAAAATAGATAGAACTGTTCCATAATAATGCAATGACAGAATAGTAGTTGTTTCTTGACCTTTTTTAAAAACTATTTACATTGTTTAATACTACAACAATTATATCCTTTTGTTTACAAAATGGACCATCACATGAAATTGTTCTCTAATTTGATTTTATCATTGAGTACCGTGTAGATATATGTTGTGGAAGATATTGTTAACTAAAATTCTCACATTAAAAAATATATTTTTAACTATTACTTCAGCTTTGAATTGATCATATTGTATATGAAAGAAAAATCCACAAGTGCTTTTTTACAATGATGTTTCAATTAAATAGTTCACGACAGGAATGTCATCATATTCTTTATTCCAAATGCTTGATTATGTTGATAGATCTAAACTTTAAAGTTCAAAGAGGCTTTATAAAAAAGTCAATGACCTGAACATAATCAAATATACTCCTCAGACCTGTTTGTATTATAGTGAAAAAGGAGTTTCATATCTATCCTAAAATTATCAGTACCTGCAAACCCAAAAATTAAGTGCATTTAAATTTTAAATTTAAAGCATGTTAATTGCATTTAAATAATCAAAATAATGAGATACAAGCTGCTAATTTTACACTTTTTATGTTGAATTAAAATTCCATAAAATATAAGGCATTCCAAATAAAAAATATACTTGCATACCAAATTCCAACACATTCAAACCTATCATGTTAATTCAATTTTTCTAAAGTTTGCCAACTGCATATATTCGTAAAATAACTGATGCTTAAAAGAAACAACTAGAGGCTCTAAAGAGCCTGTGCTGCTCACCTTGGTCTATGTGCATATTCAACAAAGTACACTCTCCAACATTGTAGACGAAAATAGAATTCATGACAAAAATCTCAGTTTTGATGATCTTGTATTGCTGATCATTTATTCTGTTTAGTTTCTCTCTATCTTCTTATGTTTTTGCTCAAAACACAAAAGAGGGATAAAAAAAATCCTCATTTAAGGGAAATCACTCCTATAATGAGTGACAGCCTACTAACTATCGGCAAAATTTGACTTTTTAGTAGATCTTGCCTTGCTGATCATTTTTGTGATTTAAAGTTTCTATTTATCTATTGTAATTTTAATCATAAAAGGCAAAATGCAAAAAAAAAGGTGAAAATTGTCATTAAAGGGCAATCACTCCAATAAGGAGTCGTCGTACAATTTCCTCCATCTGGTCTTAATTGTAGATCTTGTTTTGCTGATCATTTTTGCTTATTTAAGTTTATATCTATCTATTATAAATTTTAAGATATATGGCAAAAACACAAAAATTGGTAAAAATCATCATCAAAGGGCAATAACTCTAATAAGGAGTCGACTGACGATTTTGACCATGAGACTTATTTGTAGAACTTGTTTTGCTGATCATTTTTAAAATTAAAAGTTTCTGTTTATCTATTATAGTTTTCAAGATAGTAGGCATAAATGAAATACAAAGGTAAAATTTGTCATTTAAGGCCGATAACTCTTATAACAAGTCATCTGATAGTTTTGACATATATAGACAATTGTTAGAGCTCATCATTCTGAACATTTTTACTGTGTTAGGTTTTCTCTATTTATAACGGTTTTCAAAATAATAGACAAAACTTGCATTTTACCCCTATGTTCTATTTTTAGCCATGTCGGCCATCTTGGTTGGCAGGCGGGGTCACTGGACACATTTTTAAACTAGATACCCCAATGATGATTGTGGCCAAGTTTGGTTAAATTTGGCCCAGTAATTTCAGAGAAGAAGATTTTTGTAAAAGTTGTCAGACGACGACAGACGATGTCAGACGCCAAGTGATGAGAAAAGCTCACTTGGCCAAGGTGAGCTAAAAAGCTTGAAGCCATTTTAAGGAGTGGAAATTTGAGAATGAAAGTCAGTATAACTGTTATTTTCACAAAATTTTCAAAATCCAAAGACCCGTAATTTCAGCACAAATTAATGGAGCAAAACCAAGTGTAAACTCCATCTGTAACTCATAGTAGACTCACATAATAAAAATCAGCTCAATATGTGAAGTTGTTTAGAAAAAAGTCTGTATAACTGTTATTTTCACCTAATTTTCAAAGTCCAGAGCCCGTAATTTCGGCAAAAATCAGCAGAGCGAAACCAAACTTAAACTTTATCTGTAACTCATCATAGTAGACTCACATACTAAAAATCAGATCAATATGTGAAGGCGTGTAGAAAAAGGTCTGAATAACTGTTTCACATAATTTTCAAAGTCCAAAGTCCGTAATTTTGGAAAATATCAGCGGAGCGGAACCAAAAGTGAACTCAATCTGTAACTCATCATAATCGATGCACATACTAAAAATCAGCTCAAAATTTGAAGGAATTTAGAAAAAAAATTTGTATAACTGATTGTTGCGGAATGACGGATAAGGGTAAAACTGTATGGCCACAACCCACTTTGTGGTAGGGCTATAAAAACACCCCAGCAGAAAAATGGTAATTTTCAGTCTATTTTTTTATTTTATCATGAGCTCGAGAGGTGACATTGCCATGAAACTCTGTTTCTTTGCCATTCAATTATTACCTTGTAGTTTTAGCAACCCTTACAAGCTGACTGGTCAGTGGAAGTAAATTTGGCTTGTCTTGCTGGAGAATTATTAATGGCAAGCAAGGTCTGCAAAAATGTATGTTTTTACAGATTTCTGACAAATCATTGACCTAGTTTTTACAGACCAGAATTTTTTTGGCAATATAATTAAATACCTCCTTGTATAATACTTTGCAAGAAGAAATTGTCACCTTTCTTCTATATTTTTTTGCTGTTTATTTCATGTAAAAATGCATTTAAAAGAAGGCATATATTGTTGGATTTTGACAAACCAGGAGCTAAAAGACACAGAACTGTCTAAACAAACTGGGTATTACGATCCATATGAAACCTTGCAAGGATCCGAATCTCAAGAAATAATTAATGAAAAGTTTGTAACTGTTGGTAAGGAGTAATACCACCATTGATTCACCTATTAGTCTTTGTTAAATTGGCAATGTTTAAAAAATTGTACAGAATTAATCTTTATTTCAAATAAAGAAATACTTGGCATGAGTTAACTTTTATCCTGTCCAGTACTACATTGAAAATTTCACATAACATTTAATTGCATATAAGATAACCTTCTTCGGAAGTAAACCTTTATAATGTTCACCCTATTTTTTCCTGTTAACAAGCTTTAGTAACCATGTCACCTGAAGTTTCCAAAATATTTTATAGGAACAGCAAATAAAAAGAGATAAATGTTTATGACTCAGAAATTTTTTTCTGCAATGAAATGCACGGTTAATTTCCTACAACTGTCAAATTCAAGGGAATATTTTTTTCGATCCTTTTTCGTAAGAAACCAGATATGACGTACTATAATTTGGTGGTATTACACCATAAGTAAAATCTGGATCTGATTCCCATGGAGGAATAATGCTCTGTGGGAATCGGATCCAGATTTTACGTTTCCACCATTACAAACTTTTCATTAATTGCTCCTTGGGATTTGGATTCCTCCACGGATTACGGATCGGGATACCTGGTGTGCTACAGTCATTGACAGTATATTTGTTTATTTGGTCGAAGTTGTGTTGCAATTGTTTTTGTTCTCTTTTGAGATGATCATGATCCGACCTGCCAACTATCGTATCCCTCTTGAGAGGTGTTGACCTGACCCCTATAACTCAATTATTCAGACTTAATACTTTGAAAAAGTCATTCAGAGGAGTAAAAGATATATTTAAACACAAATATACTCATTCAAAACCATAGATGTTCTAATCAAGTACACTTATGACATGTATAGGTATGCATTGGGTCCTCTTGTGCTTAAAATCCCCAATTGAAAAGTTGGCAGGTATGCTCAATGACATATATTATTTTTTTACAGGTTGAAATATGTAATTTCTGAAAAAAATTATACTTGGGTTAACATGGTTAATATCATCAGAAATAAAACTCTTCACAGCAAAATTATAAGCAAATAATTCTGTGAAAATTCTACTTCTATTGGTAAAGTGGTTCCCAAGGCTTTGAGAAATCAACTGGACATTTGGTCCAGTAAACCATTCTTTTTAACTGGACCAGACTCTATTTTACAGGACATTTACACATATGATTTGGATAAAATTAAAAATTTACAGGCCATTTGGTCCAGTTAAGCATATCACTTTACTGGACCAAACCAATTTTTACTGGCCTTTGTCCGGAGCGTCTTTTTACCACAGAACACTACAGAATACCACAGAACACCACAGAATACCACAGAACACCCAAAATATACCACAGAATTACACAAAATACAATAAAACTACTAAAATATACCACAGAACATTGAATTACTTTACAAAATGCAAAACTAATAATTCAGAATTATATTATTTTTATAATTTGGGCTACACTAATGACAGGACGATTGACCGGATGAGATATAAATTTCTTTAATGATCATAACTTTTTTTGTTATTAGGTAGAGATACTAAACTGTATTTCATAAAAATCTTTTAAAAACAATTTATTGTAAAAAAACAGTTTTTCTATAAAAAAAATGATTTTCTATAAATAAATGTTTTTCTATAAAAAAAAAAGTTGACATGATGAATTTTCCTGGCGCCAATTACACTTTTAAGATTAAGTTTGTTCTCCCAATTCTGTTAATAAATTTCAAAATAATCAACTATTTACAAAATTGTCAATTGATTGAATTCTAGTTGCCATCTTATTATGCAAGGTATAATTCAATTAAATGGTTTATTCCTCCTAAAACTTTGTATGTGGGTCATTTGTAAGAAATCCATGTACGAATAGAAGGAATAGTTGAATAAACAAGGGTATCATCAGATTAGATTGTCAAAACATAATGCTAATTAACTTCAGGTAAATATCAATCAAACCTAACGAGTTAGTTTTCATCAATGTGCAGTTTGAAAATAGTAATAGTAGAAAATATACAAAAAGTTCTAACAAAAGGCTTTGGCACAGCTATGAATCATATTAACATCTGCAAATAAAAACACTAATTTCTGTTTATCATCAAAAGACATAAAATCACTATTAAAATGTATGTCTTCATCAAATAATTCTTTTCTAAAATCGTCATATAACTGAAGGGCACGATAAAATAACATGGGCTTCATCTTCTAAAATATCCTTACAACTATCACAGACTCGCTCCTCTAAAAGTAATTTTTCAAATCTCCCTGTTTCGGTTCTTAGTGGTGCTACATCACATCGAAATTTGACAAAAGAACTCCTTTGTGAAAATGACATTGGAATTGCACAATAAATTTCCGTTTCAAAACTGTTCTTAAACAAATTATATTTTCGAAGTTTGTTACCACCTTTACCAGATAAAGCTTTCTCTGACTGTAAATTGCATTGCCACTGTTCAACATATTTACTAAACATTTTAGACATAATAGTATTGACAACTGAAGTACTATGAACATATTCTGTAATGTTACACAAATGTTCTGCATAACACTCAGAAAATGTTTTCGTTACATAAAAATTCCAATTTTTTATACACTTGTGTATTTTACTCATAATGTCTGTCCATATGAAAACTTTTCTGTTTAACTGATTAAAACTCATATTGTTCAAACGGCACTATAGTCGAATTAAACATTGCCATTGTTTTTGAAAGATTGGAATAGAAGGAATATTTATTTTCAAAATGAAGGAATAGCAGGAAGACACCCAATTAAATGTATTTGATGTCTCAGGTGTGAAAACTTAAATGACATGTTAATTGGCTTGATGAATTGGTGATTACGATGAGTGTCAAAATTAGATAATCTAATTAGATTTTTGTTCTTTTAATGTGCCGTTGAACTCGCTCAGATCATCATTTTGGACTCAAAATATAGAATCTATATAGTAATGCTTCATATGCTAGTTTTTAATTATTTAGATGCAGTTCAACTATTTCTAAATGCATACAAAATTATGTAAAAATCTGAAATATTGTCCAATGACTTTTATTTCATCTCAAGTAAAGTATGTGTATACAATGTTTCATCTGACTTGCCGACAGTATTTGGTTTTGAACTGCATCAAGTGTATCAAAAATCTATTCAGTGTTTCAAAAGCCAAACTAATTTACTAGTTTGTGATGTCCATCTCAGTTGCCGCTAGTGTTGTCAGAGAACGTTTTCCATGGACTATTATTCAATATTTAATAATATACATGTACTTATTCATAGTGTAACAACTCTTAACATAAAATTAAACAAAAATGACAACTACAACAATAAATACCCCAGAATTACAATTGTTTTAATACCGGTAGGTGTTTTTGGTATAGACCCAGTAATAGGCCAATTCAGTTTGGGGCGTAGCGATAGTGAGTCGACCCTAAAGAAAAATTAAATGTCAAATTATAAAAAGAATTAACAATAACAATAATATAATGTCTGAAGTATTTATATTTCGAAGTTCTGTGGTATATTTTTGGTGTTCTGTGGTATTCTGTGGTGTTCTGTGGTATTCTGTGGTGTTCTGTGGTATTCTGTGGTATTCTTTGGTGTTCTGTGGTAAAAAGACGCTCCCGCCTTTGTCCAATATCTGGCGACCTTTGGAATGACTGTTGGTATCAAGTTGATTAATATCCGACCAGAAATGACCCCACAATATTTTTATGAAATATATAGTGAAAAATCCAAAGTGGCAAATACTTATGGCCATGCACTGCTGTAGATGATAGCTTTAATCAACTTCAAATATAGAGGCGGGACTATTTAGAGCATAAATGACATATTGTATAGACACATGCAAATTCAATTTCTAATTTAAGGTTCATCATAACAAATCGACAAAGATGGCCGTATTTACACCCCAAAAACTACTCTGAGTACAGACTTACCTGTCCAGTTGGAGAAGTTTTAAGGCCTGGCATCCACTAGATATATAAAAGGTAAATGCATTTTGTGTTTCAGAAAGATATAATCTTTTTTGGATTTTTGAGGGGAAAGAGATACTCTTTTAGACGTCACTAGAGAAAAAGTAAAACATAGCTTTTTGTAGATTTTGTTGTAAAGTCACTATACTAAATATTATCTTACACCATGAACTTTGTCGAGAATTTTCTTGATATTCTACTTTTGCTTTCGTTTCCGCAGTGGCTTAAACTGTTATATACAATCGAATTGCTTGCAAGAAAAGTATGAATTTCCGTAACCCAGTAAGTTCGCCCTGAAGGAAATAGGAAAAGTCGTCACACAGTCGAATCGCCCCCACTTTCAACATACTCTCATCATCTTTGCAAATTACTCGCATATTTGGAAGAAATTCGAACAATCTCGAACCATTCAGACTTGGGAATTCGCCAAATCTACCAAAAGGAGTTTCAGACCACTCAAACAAGACGTTTAAACTTATTATAAAATGATAAATTAAGTAACATTAACCGTGAACAACAATAAATAGGTTTGTTTGTTTATTTTACATTTTTATTTTCTTAAATGCTAGACAACATGCCTCTCCTCAAATTAACATAACAATTATTATATTTAGAAAGACGGAATGCTTCTTACCTCTACAAAATATGAATTCATATAAATGGGTTTATGGTTACTTAACATGACTGTATTCTTAAGCTTCAGTGTTGAAGTCTTGTTAACCCAAAGAAGAAGTAGTTGTAGAAGAAGAAGAAAAAACGGTATTCATATAAAATAATGCATTTCAAATACATAGTTCATAGACAATAATGTTGTTTCTGTGAATTATAAATTTCACTTATGTCAATTCTCATTGAAATAAAACTAGGAACAATATTAGAAATTTCATTAAACATTGTCATTCTATAGTTACACGTATGAAGTTGTTCAAATATTATTATGAAATGGAATTCATCTCTCACCCTTATATTTCACAGGGGCACAAACTATTCATAGGCTGATTTAGGGGGCGAGGTGCCCGGTCCCCCCTTATGGAGCTACATTTAAGGTTAATCCAGACTTTTTACCTGTTCCACTCCAAACATTACTTTGTCTAGTTTGCCCCCGGCCGCACACACACACACACACTTTTCAAAATCCTGGATCTGCATCTGCTTTTATCTACAACTGTTTTATCATATCTACTGTGTTCAATAGCTAGCGTGCTATTACTTATTCTTATTCTGACATAGTTTTTAATCTAATATTTTATCTAAATTCGATAAAATATATTTTGCTAGTTTGTATTTTACCGTGCTGGGCTTTTTATTTTCTATAAATTCTGAACTTTTTTTCATTAATCGAATTCTTATTATTAAATATAAAACATTTTCTAAAACGTATTGGAATTTTCATATAGCTTCTATGTTAAGACTGAAAGTAATGGTTTTATTTTTAGAAAAAAAGTACTTTAATTTTTCCAAACATATACAAGAAATATTCAATTTGGATAGTAAAATTTTAATTTTTTGAGCCAATTGCTGGTTAACTTGATAAACATTATATAATAAGAACTCCTTCGAGTTTACAATATACATCCGGAATCCTATAGAGTACCTTAGAGCCTGTGTACAAACTAGAACATTCCTTATTCAGTTTAGGTCATTTTTATATTAATTGTTGCTTGTGCTGTGTTGGATGCAGTAGCATGTGTCCACCTGCTTGTGGTGTGTGCCTTTATATTTTACAGTTATGTTTTTTTAAATTTCAGTATCTGCGAGTACTCTTATTTCGGTGCTTTGTGTCTATTGTTTTTATTTTAGTGGTTATGGTGCCTCGTACCGATCTTATGGGTTAAGCCAATTGCAACTGATTTTTACAGTTTGTTCTCATGTTGTACAGTTACACTACTGTCCCTGGTTAGGGTTGAGCGTTCATTTACATGTTTACTCCGCCACATTTTGTATGTGCCTGTTCCTAGTCAGGAGCCTGTAGTACAGTGGTTGTCGTTGGTTCATATCTGTCATTTTTGTTTTTTTGTATATTGTTTTGTTATAAATTAGGCCGTTTGTTTTCTCGTTTGAATTGTTTCACGTTGTTCATGTCCGGACCTTTTTATAGCCAACTATACGGTAAGGGATTTTCTCGTTGTTGAAGGCCGTACAATGTCCTGTAATTGTTTACTACCACTTCATTTTAACTCTGGATGATAGTCATCTCTTCACATGCTCATTTTGTTGATACAGCTATATTTACTGACTTTGAATTAACTCCAAGAATACTCCGTATATTTGATTTACAGTTTGACTGATTCTATTGACAAATATTGTGACAAGTGTAATGTTGTTCTTTGCGATATTCAGTGACCATATTCATATCTCAATACAGTAAAGCATAATTTGACTAACACAAAAATAAAGTTTCTAATGGTATAAAACACATTTGTCTTATCAGAATATAGCATTTTCTTTATAAAAAAAAACCAACGCCTTTAAGGTTTTTCTTAAAAGGAGATTAACTGTGTTGGTGAAAACTCTAGATGGCTTAAATTATATTCATAAATATTTGTATTCTGTGCAATTTTCAACTAATTCATTATTAAAAATAAATATTTTGCAACTGTTTTACCACTTTTATTGAATACCATTGTCGTTGTCTTGTCAACATTGACTGTTAAGTTCCATTCCTCGCAATATCCGTTTAACTTGTTTAAACACATTTGCAATCCATTTGAGGACTCTTAACATTTATGCTAAATCTTTGTCCTAGAAAACAGTGTTTGATATCAAACTTTCAAATTCGACCAAGTTTTATGTTAAGAGAATTCACACAACCAATGGTTTATGAATGTTCACTGAATAGAGATATCAAAGATATAGACAAGAGACATTTACTATCCTCCATTGCCTACTGTCTAATCACCGGATATGACTCATATATATACGAATTGTATCAGGAGTTAAACGGATGTCGCTAGTAAATCAGGAATTCAAATCAATTGCTGACCCTTCCGGAGCACATTTGTTCACCCCGTTTTACAGTTTAGTTTTCTGTGTTGTTTTTCGTGAAATTATGTTTGTCTTTTCGTCGTTTTTAAAGGCAGTGCTTTAATGCCTTTCTAGTTGCCGGGTTAATCCTTCCTTCCGCGATATCCAACTTATCTACGTGGGGGGTCATTAGACTCCAAGTAGATCCGGAAATGTTGAATTCTCTCCTCTTCTTATTGCGATATAAAATGTTTTTTGTTTCATTTCATTTACATTGGGAAATACAGAAACGATCATTGTGTTTTGTTAGTTTTAAAAACTTTTGATATATTAGTATTTTGCATTATAAGCAGTCAACCGATTGACAAACTAGAATTATTTGAATTCCGTGTGGAAAGAGCTCGGGTTAATTTCGAGTGTTATCTGCAATCTAGATGTTTATAAATCATTTCAGTCGTTGATATAATAATTAAAGGTCGACTGAACATGAATTATATTATACAATTTAAAGCGCATTTCTGTTTATGCACGTGAACCCGTCTAACGTTATTTTCGCAGTTATATAAAGTAGCAAATTATCGTTCCTGAATAGGTGGCGCCGTGGTAGCGGATCCTGTTCCTCTTCTTCCGGTTTCTGCACTGTGCAACTATTTCAGTTATATTTTTAATTAACGATGCCAAGTACTTGTTGTTGTGTACCTGGATGTCATTTAAGAGGAGGACATGCATTTCCAAATGACTTAAAAAGAAGGAAAAGATGGATCAACGCCATGGCCCATACGCAGATTGGACGAGAACACGATGATATCGTGGAGTCCATCTCAATCAGCTGTTGTTTGCAAGGCACGTTTTACTGAAAAAGACTACGTGCAGGAAACTATTCATGGTAAAACTCTATTTTCTTTGTGAAATATATAGTTATATATGTTATCTCCATGCGAATAAACCAAAGTCTGTTTACAACCCCAATTATCGTTTTAGAATAAAAGGGGGTGGGTAATTCAAGACGTCATAATTTTTTGGATTACGATTCAATGTGATCTGTTTGAGATTGTTTGGTGATTGCTACAATTATAATGATTTCTTACAAGAGGTATATCATACTGAGAATTATTTTAGCAGTAATTATGCTAATGTAGTAATGACAGGAATGCATAAGCTATGCCTCATAGACTTTCTTGAAAAATATCAATGACAATGTTAACAGGAACAAAACAATGACATGCTCTCATCTATATTATAGTTATTTAGGTACAAACAATGTACGTTTGTTGCATAAGTCTCTCATTGTTTGTCCTTTGGATTTACATAACATACATTGAATCAGGCAAACATAGTTTTATCCAGATTGTAATGAATAAATCTAGTTAATATTTCGCCAGGTAGTACAAAGTATACATTGCTAATGGAAGTTCATTTAATTATAAAAAATCTAATGTTTTATAACCTTTTTCAGGGCGCAAACCCACCATACAGAGACTTAAGTCTACTGCAATTCCCAGCCTATTTTCCTGGACCAGGCAAGAGACTGAATCGTCCACAAAAAGAAAAATCAGGGCAGTTTCCTGTGAAAACAAAAGAACTAAACTTGATGAATATTGTAGTAGAAATCTAGAGGAAAGTTTTGATTGTAAAGTTGGTTTTCCTGAAGAAGTCATTCATACTGCAGAAAGGATTTATGACTGTCCACCACCAACTGCCGAGCTAATGTTGAGCTTCACAGATGGAATTACGCAAACACCATCAATGCCTATGTTTTCAGCAGAGAATTTTGAAATGAAGACACGTGACACAGCCATGCATTTTATACCGGTTTAGAGTTGTATACTAAATTTTTATTTGTTTTGACCACACTTGGTCCAGCAGCACATTGTTTGAGATACATATATTTTCAAATTGATAGGGTGTCAGTTGAAAATCAGTTTTTTTATGACTTTGATGAAATTGAGGCATCATACAACCAACTTTGAACTGTCTAGATTCTAGATTGAATCTAGTGTTAAGAATATTGTGTATACATGGATTATTTTTATGTCTAAACAGTGGTGTGAGGCTAACACTTGGCCATCTAGTGGTTTAGTCAGGTATTTTTCACCATCCAACTTCAAATTAAAGTTTCCTACGACTTGGATTATTATTGACAGCACAGAATATCCTGTGATAAAACCTAAAGCTCCTAGAGCTCAGGCA